AAACAGCAGCAAAACACCTTCAAAACATCCTAAAATGAACCTACAATCAGTGTCCCCAGCTGACACCTCCAACCGTGTACCCGACCGGCACCTCTAAGCAGCGCCCGTTGATTGACGAGTCGACGACCGACATCAAGGAGTTCCTTAACCGGACCAAACTACACGCAGACGCGGGCTTCTTTGAGACCTGGATGACAACCGCATATTTGAGTATGATTTGGGGTGGAGCAAACAATTTGGAGGATGATTTGGGGCGTGTTAAGGCGGAGCAGACGATATGGGGATGATTCGCGGTTGCACACCCCTATTCTCACTCCTCAACACCATCCATAAAACCAAATAAATTATGTTTCTGAATAATAAATAGTTATTCTGTAAATAAAAGGAAAAAATCCCGAACACCCCCAAATGGAAATAGAAGTAAAGCTACGGCTCGCCTCCTCCGCCTCCCACGAACGCCTCTCCGCCGTCCTCTCCCCCTTCCACCGCCGCACTCACTTCCAGCAAAACCTCTTCTTCGACGGCCCCAACGCTGAGCTCTCCTCCTCCCTCGCCGTCCTCCGCCTCCGCTTCTACGACCTCGACTCCCGCTGCGTCCTCTCCCTCAAATCCAAACCCCGCATCTCCGGCGGCATCAGCCGCATCGAGGAGCAGGAGGAACCGCTCGACCCCACCTTCGGCCGCCACTGCACCGCCGAGCCGCGCCAACTCTTACGGATGGAGTCCTCCGACATTATGAGGCGAGTGAGGGATGAATTCGGTATGGAGGAAAAGGGTTTAGTCTGTTTGGGAGGGTTTAGGAACGTAAGAGGTGTTTACGAGTGGAATGGGCTGAGATTGGAGGTCGATGAGACGGATTATGGATTCGGGACGTGTTACGAGGTCGAGTGCGAGAGCTCGGAGCCTGAGAGGGCCAAGGATTTGATAGAGGAGCTGTTGAGGAGCAATGGTGTTGAGTATAGGTATTCTGCGGTCTCTAAATTCGACATATTTCGGGCAGGGAATTTGCCTGATTGAGGTAAACGAAGCTATCTAACACCCTTTTTTATTTTCCCCTTGTCAGAGGCAAAGCTACTATTTTTATCATGTAAATATGTAAATAGAGTGGACATGAGTAATAAACATGTAATGTGTCATGATTTGTTCTGTTATTGAGAAAAAAAGAACTCAATGCTGAAAAATTGAATCTTTTACTTGGAAAAGTCCTCATTACCGGGAAATCATTTTGGCTCATTTGGATATTATCTAGATAATCACAGTTTTGGCCATAAAATTCCCGTGTGAAGGGCCCAGATCATCAATATTTTGAAAATTGCAGGGCGTATCCCGATTCGTGTTTTATGATGGAGTATTCTTGCTACATTGCTAATGCTAGACGACTAATGTTATGATTTTGCATTTCCTTGTTTCTTGAATCAGAATTTGTTTAGGAAAAATTGAGTTCACTTTGGTTATTTTCTTATGAAAATTTCTAATGGACTTAATTTACATGCGAATGTGTTAATTTATGGGGATTACTCAGAATGACTTTTGTTGCATTATATGGAAAGGTGATATGGTTTGTTCATTTATCTTCTTAAGTTGGCGTCTTGGCAAGATTGTGAATGAATTCATCATATATGAGTTTCCCGTGTTAACTCACGACCAATTACGTCAACAGGAACGCACCATTAATTGTTGAGTGTTCTTGAAAATCCCATATGCATGCTTAGCATTTTTATTAGTGAGGATGAATGGACCACATGAGCACAATATCAAAACAGTGAAATCTATCATACCTTGCTTCCATGCCACACACAATCTGTCATCTGTATTGTTTCAATTACCCAAATTGAAATAACAATGTGAATGTTGTTGCATCATGCACTTCTTGAAGTACGCCTGACAAATATGATTTTAATCCCGTGTCTAGACACTCGGCTGGGCTTTACATCAATCTCATGCAGCAATCACCTTTATTCTCCATTTGTTTAATGGGTTGCTATACACATGACAAACATGCAAGTTTGTTGCTTATAATAAATTTTCCTTAGGTTGGTGATCTGAAGCCCAGCACTGTCTGTGCAGTCGAAAACATTTTTTCAGACTTGTTTTCTTTTGTCTATTATTTCCCGTAGATATGTTGAAGACTAGAGTAACGGCGTTGTTCCTTACCTGTGCATTGGATTATAACATCTTTTGTCGTAATTAGGAATTTCACATAAACCCACACTTGCAAATTTCTCTTGGCATCTAAAGTATTGAACATTTTAGTGAGTGCTAAACCTGCTCCTAAGGACATTGACATTTTCAGTGATTAACATTTGGGGCAGCTGCTCAGGCCCAAAAAGTTGCCAAAATGATTTGACGCATAGCTTCCTAGGCGGACTTGGAGGCTGGGTGCTGAATGCGGCTCTTTGCACCCTTTTTTTTTTATTTTTTATTTTTTTTAGGACATTTCACTTAAAATTAGAACAAAAAATTAATGGGACACAGCTTCCCTTTGAGACGCAGACTGAAGTCAGATCAGAAAAAAATAAAAAAATAAAGAGAACCGAGGAAGAAATTGAAACTTTCACCTTTCTTTTTTCCCGTAAGACCACTGCTTCTCTTTGCTGTCTCACCCGCCTCACCTTCTTTTCCGCTGTAACACCACTGCTATTGCCTTCTGCTTTATCAGCCTCAACTCAGGTACTTCAGAGTTGTTTGTCTTATGTTATTTGTTTTTTCTAGCATTAGATATATATTGAATTAATGGAGCTTATGGTCTGATATATGAAGTAAGGTTCGAAGATAATATGGTGGTGGCAGATATTATGGGATTAGTCTGAAATGTAGAAGTTAGATATTCTTAAATTTGAACATGTAAGGTGTTTGATAAAACGACAGTTGCATTCTCAGTCGTCCACAACTTGGATTGATGGCAAAGTAATCTGTTTTCCTGATTTTGTCACACAAAAGATACGTGGATGGACCGTGGAGGTTCTTCACATTAATGTATCATCCCATAAACGATCCACATTCCCACCTTGCAGTTCACTTATTTAACTTTTTAGTCAATTTCATCGGTTCATCCTAGTCTACACATACCATCATTTTAACAAGCAAGTTAACAAACTCGAACTCAAGAACGGGTATGCTTTTGGAAACCCTTAATGAGCTTATGCTACATAGTTCGAACAAAACATAATTTTAACGAATACTCAGAAGGGCATAGCCAAGCTGCTCATGATAGATCAAATCAGCAGTTCAAGGCTTTGGGTTCAGTTATTCCATGAATGACCAATGGTACAAGACTACTCCTAAAGGGACATTAAAAATTTAGATTATTCCATGAATTTTGAAAACAAAAATAAAAAAATATATCCCAAAATGTTTTGAACTTTTGCAATGTGGATTAGTTAGATAGGAATGGAATAAATCTACATTCTCTGTCTAGCCACTTTGTTTTTCCTTCTTTCTATCCACCTAGAGAAACACACATGCTATCTCTTTTCTTCTTGTCTTTCTGCCCACCTCCCAACCAGTCCAGCTTTTGGATGGGACCAGCCGATCGATTGAGCTTGATGATTCCTATTGTTGGTCTCCCCCCTCCTTCAATTGTTTAGTTTGGCCAAGCTCATGTTCTGACCCTTTATTAGATCTGATTAGCCGACTTGGAATGTGGGTGAAGTGTTCAGGTTTGAGAGTTGTTGATGTGTGGATCTTTTTTTCGCTCTAGGATTTGGTGGCTTGCTCGTGCCTGAGACTCTGATTCATGGCTTTGGTGGGTTATGCTTGTCTCTGGTGACTGTTAACGGTCAAAGGGAAAGATAAGTTTATTCTGTTTTTTTTTTCGTCTGCTTTTTCTTTTTTCTTTTTTTCTTTTTTCTTTTGTTGTGGATAGTCTCCTTTTGAAATTCCATTAGTTAGGTTACCGACCTCTCTAACTGGGACGATGACCTTTCCTAGAAGGAAGGTTCGATATGGTGCCCGCCGCCCTTACTTG